TTTTCAAAAGGGAAAACTTAAAATTTTGAATATAATATCTAGTATTGTATTAAATCTTTATTTTGAATTTGTTTAGTCTCCTATTTTTTTAAAAATGTTTAAAAAACACTTGAAATTTTTGCCCTTTATAACGATTTCATATTTAGTTGAATATGAAATCACTTAAAGCTCTGATAGGATTTTCTCGATTTTTGCTGGCCGTTTGGGTTTTCACATAATTTTTTACTTTTTTGTCACTTAAGAACTAACCATGACGCGATATACCATCCTAATGGATCACGCGAGGAGTTTGATCATTGGATCAATCACCCAGATTACGCATCAGATGGAGATTTTAGAACAAAATGAGGAAGGACGTTCTCGTGGTGTTAAAATGGTTTTTTTGAATTTTATTAAAAGTCAAGAATGGTTCGTGTCACAACCATCGGTCACCACAATTACTACGTAAATAGATTTTATAATTTCTAATTTATACAATTTTGTAGGGCTTAAACCCACGCACTGAATATGATTATGGGGATGATGATGATGAACATTACCCAGACAGAATCACCCGTAGGCCGCGCTTCTCTCCTCGGATGTTTTATAATTTTTGAATTCTATGGTCTGTTATACTCAACTGATTATCTCGACAGGTGGTTGGCTAATGATATCTACGACTGGCACCACATTTACACAAACGATGGTGATGTCAAACTTGGGGAGGAATATTCTATATACCACTGCGAAGTGAGTATTTAAATTTTATAATTAATTGCTGTTCGAATGAACTTGTGTACACGAATCTCCATCTACGTATTTGTTGAGGAAGGTCGATCCACAGGTCATAGTCTTCGTATGAGTATAAAAGACCATAAAAATTTGTTATTCCAGACCCTAACAATGGTCTTCTATTTTTATGGTCTTTTATACTCATACGAAGACTATGACCTGTGGATCGACCTTCCTCAACAAATACGTAGATGGAGATTCGTGTACACAAGTTCATTCGAACAGCAATTAATTATAAAATTTAAATACTCACTTCGCAGTGGTATATAGAATATTCCTCCCCAAGTTTGACATCACCATCGTTTGTGTAAATGTGGTGCCAGTCGTAGATATCATTAGCCAACCACCTGTCGAGATAATCAGTTGAGTATAACAGACCATAGAATTCAAAAATTATAAAACATCCGAGGAGAGAAGCGCGGCCTACGGGTGATTCTGTCTGGGTAATGTTCATCATCATCATCCCCATAATCATATTCAGTGCGTGGGTTTAAGCCCTACAAAATTGTATAAATTAGAAATTATAAAATCTATTTACGTAGTAATTGTGGTGACCGATGGTTGTGACACGAACCATTCTTGACTTTTAATAAAATTCAAAAAAACCATTTTAACACCACGAGAACGTCCTTCCTCATTTTGTTCTAAAATCTCCATCTGATGCGTAATCTGGGTGATTGATCCAATGATCAAACTCCTCGCGTGATCCATTAGGATGGTATATCGCGTCATGGTTAGTTCTTAAGTGACAAAAAAGTAAAAAATTATGTGAAAACCCAAACGGCCAGCAAAAATCGAGAAAATCCTATCAGAGCTTTAAGTGATTTCATATTCAACTAAATATGAAATCGTTATAAAGGGCAAAAATTTCAAGTGTTTTTTAAACATTTTTAAAGTTTGTGCCCCGTCCCACCCACCCTCAATGGTGCTGCCTCCCCGAAAATCTTCCCAAGCACACCCACACCTAGTAAAAGAATGAGCCTAATCAACCCCTCTTAATCAAAGGGTGACTAAAAAAATAGAATTAAAGTTAAAGACAATATTAAAAACAAAAAATCTTTAAAAAAATTTTTAAACCATCCTTCTTCCAAAAATCGTATCCTTGAGGTTTGAAGTGGCGAATGTTGACGATATTTCCAAAGCGTTTGAAGGCATCACGGTTTTCAGTTTCTGAAAAGAGAAAAATTTTTGAAAGGAAATATTATAGATTAAAGTAAAAAACAAATGATCCTGGGACCAGGATGTGTTCAGCCCCAAGAGAATTAGAACCAAACATGGGCAAAACATTTTATGTATCTCGTTTTCTAGTTAGGGGGTTTTCCCATTTCATTACAAAAGTTTTTAATTTGCTTGTTTTGTCAACGAAACGTCATCGTAACTCGTAGGTTCGAACTTCCTAACAGAAGTTCGAACAACCAACGTGGGAACCCTTAACTCTTAACGGTCAAAACCAGGACCAAAACCAATTAACAAAAAATATAAAAACCTTAAGCAATTCCATAACGGGAAGAGGATTGAAAAAGTGAAGTCCACCAAAAAGTTTCTTGTGTTTTAAATTCGCAGCAATATCCGCAATTTTAAAGATGAAGTGTTTGTTGCCAAAGTTGTTCCACTAAAATTGTTAAGAGAATTTTTAAAAAATTAAAAAAAGGAATTTTGAATGTTTGTCCACATTTTCACTTCCTCCTTATTTTCCCTATTTTGATTCTGTTAAGCAAATCAGTAGTGCCAGTTGAAAAAGTCAGAAATTCAATTTTTGGTTAAGTGGTCCAGTTTTAGGTTTTAACTTTTAAGGTCGATGGTTCGAAACCTTTTAGTGCGTTCTTATTTTCTCATATTCCACGAAGGAGGCAAATCTTACATGTCTAAACCGAGCCTAAGATCAAAGGAAAATAAGGAATGTCGAAAAACAAAAAGCTCAAAATCACCCAAAACCCGTTAAAATAAAAAACCTCTTAACAGCATTCTCCACTCTGTCAAGCAAATTTTGTTTAACCTCCACATTTTCCACAATACTTCAATAACCAAATCAGCCTTAGAAACAGCTTCGGCAACATTTGTCGACAACGCAATATTTTTCAAAACTTTGTCAATCAAATTTTTTTGTTGCTAAAAAATAAATGGGCATTAGTCTAGTTTATGAGTCCAATGCAGGTTTACGAGCCTAAACCAAGTATGTCCGCAATTGAAAAAAAATTATACAATCGTAATTTAAAATCCCAAACTCAATCTCTGAGCCAAAAAACATGCAATGCTATTGCGGACAGCCCCGGCCCAAACAAAATATTAGAAGTCCAATGAGGCTTTACGAGTCAAAGGGTCAATGTGTAGACTTATAATTTATCAATGGACTGTAAAGTTATTGGACTCATAAACTAAAACAGAGGTAATTGATTTTTTAGATAAAACGGAGGATTAGGGTCCCTCGTCTTGTCTTCCCTAGTTTTTTCCTTAATATGTTCAGAAAGGTCAGACTTCCCCCAGCGTCCCTCACTTCACTTTTTTCCAATCTCCCCAAAAGCTGCATCATTACCGGTGAACCTATTGCAAATGACCCACCATTGGCCTAGGTCCCGATGCGAACGCTGGTGACTTATGGCCTAGACATTTAATGAGGAAGGATGGCTGACCACTGTCCACACTTAGGCAAAATAGAAGCTAAATTGACCGGGGGAAGGAACAAAAAAGTACTGGTTAACTTAAAAAACCTTTTTCCATTCTTTTCCTCCACCACAAGTCCATTTAATGAGGAAAGTCTGACCATTCTGCACATATTCCCTTTATTGTTGTTGTTGAAAAGTTTGGAAAGACTATTAAAGAAAATTTTAGCAAAAAAGAAATTTATCAAGAAAACCTGTTTGTTTTTTGAAAATTATCCCACTACACCAAAGTGGCAACTTTAATTGGGAGTGGTTGTAAAGAAAAGGGAGGCAGGGCAAAAGAGTGTGGGAATTAAAAGAGACTAAAAGTTTGCTTTTATAGTAAAGTTTTCTTTTCAAAACAACGCCCCGCGAAAATAAGCATTTAAAATAACACACTATTTCTTTTCTATATTTCTCTAACTTTTATTTTCGGCTCCCATACAAAATACCGAATTCTTAAAATATGGAATCTCAAAATCGCGAATCGGCTAAAAAAGCTCAAAATATGGAATCTCAAAATATCGAATCTCAAAATATGGAATCCCAAAATATCGAATCGGCCAAAAAAGCTCAAAATATCGACAATGCGGCAAAAGCCAGTTGAGTCTGAACAATCTTATCAACAACTTCGAAAAAATTTAAAAATATGCAAAAGGGTTTTTCTAGGGTAAAAAGATATGCTGATTACGAATCTGAGCTCGGATTTTGAAAAAGTCGAATCCCAGACCCGAACCGAGCTTCAAATCCCGAACCGAATATCGATTTTCCGAATGATAGCTCATTTGAAAGAGCACGTCGAGCTGCATCGACTGACACCAAAATCAATGAAATCCGACTTTATTGGACTGAGATACAGACCCCTGAATAAACTGAAAAAAACCTGCACTCAATTGGCGGCACTCAAACGGCCCTTTTCGTTTTTAAAAAATTCGACATTTTTAACTACTTTTTAGCCGATTCGGTATTTTGAGCATTTTAGCCTATTCGAGATTTTGAGATTCGATATTTTAAGATTCCATATTTTGAGCTTTTTTGGCCGATTCCATATTTTGAGATATTTTTCCCGATTCGGTATTTTGAGCTTTTTTAGCCGATTCGCGATTTTGAGAATTCGGTATTTTGTGCGGGCACGTTATTTTCATTGCGGAACAGCATCATTGAGTCCCGCCGGTTGAGTCCCTGAGCCATATTTTGGGCCATAACTTTTTCAATTCTTAATTAATTTAGATACTTAATATATCAATCAAAAGCTCTTGATATAAGGATTATGTTAACTAGCAGGAGTATCTAATCAGATCAACAAACAAAAAGTTACAGCTTAATAAAGATCAAAAATCACGATTGCGCGCACTTATCTAGATGTAACTTTTTGTAGGATGGTCTGATCAAATCAATCTAGTTGACGAAAATAATCCCCTTATCCAGGGCTTTCAGATGATAAAAAATTTATTTGAATTGGTTGAAACCCCAAAAAGTTATGGCCCAAAATATGGCCCCGGGACTCAACCGGCGGGACTCAATGATCCCCTACCCTTTTCGTTGTAAAACATTTCGTTGTAAAACAAAAAAAGTTTGAGTCTCTGTCAGTTGAGTCTCCGTTATTTTTGGGTGTAACTCTTTTGTGTTTCCAACTTTTTTGAGCAAGTTTGGTATCAATCGAAAGCTCTAGATCTGCTGATTCTGTTTCTTTAAAGAATAGAACAGTACGAGCATTGAGTAAAAAATTAGAGACAAAAGAAGGCCGAAAATCGCGATTTTTTGAGCCTAACAATTTGAAGATTTTTAGGATATTTTGACGTTCTTCAGTTTAATAAATGTCACAACATCACCCAAATCATCCAAATATTCCTTCAAACATTCCTTTTCAATTAAATATTGTAAATTCTACAAATACTTCAATTCCTTCTTTTAATTATTTAACTGAACAACAACCCAATGATGTTTACGAATTCAACGATAGTCCGGAAGAGGACAAAATGGCTGCTCCAATGACTTCAAATTACTTTCAAAATGTATCTCCAAGCATTACAACGTCTTTTAATCAATACAAGAGTCCAATTACAGGTTTTTAATTAAATTGCTGGGAGAGGGTGGAGGTCGTGGGTTCGAACCAGGGGTGAGCGCAAGAGACAATCTCAAAAAACGCAAGACGCAAAACGCAACGCAAGGCCAAAATTTAACGCAAATAACGCAAGACGCAAAACGCAAAACGCAAGAACGCAAAATTTGGAAAAAAATAAAGAAGGAGCAGAGTTCGCCAAACAAATAATTTAAGCCGGATTTCTCCAATTTTGTCCTCAGATTGGGTATATTTTTTGCGTTAATTTCATCAAAAATAACGCAAGACGCAAAACGCAACGCAAGGCCAAAATTTAACGCAAATAACGCAAAACGCAATGCGCTCACCCCTGGTTCGAACCCGCTCGGGGTCCTGAATTTTTTAAATAATTTTTTTCTTCGATAATTGGTCGAAATGCGACCTGTATTTGCCTAGACATGAAATTATATGTTTCGGATTAATTTTAGACCGATACATTTTATGTTAAAAATTCGGGCCCCGAGCGGGGTCGAACCCACGACCCCCCTTAGAAGGCTTACAAATTTCATAAAATTTTACAAAAAATTTTTTCAATTTCTATAGCTTCTCCAAGCTTTTCAACAACTCCAAAAAGAATAAAAACGGCAATGCTTGCAAAAAAATTGGTTGCTGCTGCTGCGGTGGAGTCCTCTTCAAGTGCTAACAAGGCAAGTCTGGTCGAAAGTTTGCCCGAATCAAAACCTGAAACTGTGGAATTTTGTCAAAAAATCGAAAATCAAGTCAAAAGAGAAGAGTATTACGAAAAGGAAGGGACTGAATTAAAAATTGGAAATGAATTAAAAATTGAAGGATCTGATGAAATTAAACTACAACCTTCACAACAACAACACAGAGCCTATTCTTTTACTTGTGGAGGAGTGCAAGAACAAAAAAAGGTTTTTTAGATTAATTTTTAGGTTGTTTAAGACGGGGAAAATTTTTTTAAAGTTACCCTAGCTTCTAAAAAGCAATAGTTTAACTTTTCTTGACCAGTATTTTATTTAAAAAAATTCAGGGCCTTGAGCGGGTTCGAACCCACGACCCCCTACAAATGCCTGTCAGAGAACTATAAATTCAAAAAAATTTTCTTTTAAGGTCCCTCCTCTAAGAATTTCTTTAATAAAAACGCCAAGTGAAGATGGGGAGTCTCAACCAGTATTGTATTCACCAGTCAGTTCTGTTCGAAAAACTAAGAGGGCAACTGGTGGACGTTCAAATACTACTAGTTCAAAGAAGGAGGAAATGAGGAGAGTGACAAGGTTTGAAAAATGAATTTTTACTTATTAAATGGCTAGAGATGCCTAAAATTAAGTCAAAATGGGAGATTTGGTATTTAAAAAATTCGGGCCCCGAGCGGGGTCGAACCCACGACCCCCCACCTCACCCCTGGTAATTGAGTTTTTGGTGTTGTATTCGTTTAGAGTTTTCAAGAAACATTTTTAATCTTCTAAAATTTATAAAAAAAAGTTTATTTTAATAATTTGAAGGAGCAGAGTTCGCCAAACAAATAATTTAAATGATGGAGATGACAACCACCAACAACCCCAACCTTACAGAAAACGTCCAAAGCGAACATTAGAAAATTACAATTCTTCAAATATCGGATTTTTGGAAGAAGAAGATGCTAGTAGTGCTGCTGAGGGTGCCTGTGAAGATAATTTAATGATAGATGAGGATGAAAATGATGAACAAAAAAATGAGGAGAATTCACAGCATAGCAGTTCTAAAAGTGTTTCTGAAGTTGTAAGTTTGGGGGAAATTTTTTTTATTTTGGGGAATTTTTTTGTTTAAAAAAATTTTTTTAAAGATCGATTTTGGGTTAGAAATTAAAGGAAATTAATATTTTGTGTTTTTACGGAATTTAAAAAATTTTGGGCACTGAGCGAGTTCGAACCCACGACCCCTCCCCCCCTTTATAATTTTTCCCTAAAAAATTTTTTTCAGCACAGCGCTAGCCGTTCTACAAGTATTTCTGCATTGGCAAGTGGAAAAGAACAATCGCAACAAAATTTGGAAAATGAAAAGAATAATAATAATGGAGGAAATGATGCAAGTACTACCACAACAACAACCCCTTCTGTTGCTGCTACTCTTTTTGCTAAAAATAGTTTTGAACAAAGTATTTGTTATGAAACAATGGTTTGTTTTTTAGATATTTTGATGTTATTTGGTTTAAAAAAACAATTTGTGAGCAAGTTTTGTGAAAATATATTTTAAAAAAATTTTTGGGCCTCGAGCGGGGTCGAACCCATGACCTCTCCTTACTAGTTATAAGATTGGTATTTTTATGGTTTTTTATTTTTTTTAATTTTATTTTTATGTTTTTTGTGTTAAAAAATTATTTCTTGAGGAAATTTTGTGAAAGTTCATTTTTAAAAAAATTCTGGGCCTCGAGCGGGTTCGAACCCACGACCCCTAACTTCACCACAAACCTTTAGGTTTTTTTCATTTTTTTTTGAATTTTTTGATATTCTAATTTAAATTTGAATAATAAAACTACTTTTTTTATATTAGATGCACAATAAATGGACACAAAATTATGTTGAACATTTAGCTTTTCTGATAGAAACAATGCAAAGTACAGATGAAAGTCAAGGGACGAGGTCTGCAAAGACAAAAAATTTTTCTTCAAGTGGACATGAAAAACAAAATAATGAGGTTATTTTGTAGATTATTTTTAAGTTAAAAAATTATTTTTTTGAAAAGATTTGTAAAGATTTACCAGAAGTTCTTAAAAAACTCTTTTTGGAACAAGAGAAGCGAAGGCATGAATTGGCAGAAGAACACAATTTAGATAAAGAAAGGATAACCCAAATGGCAGAGAGAGAAATGTGTAGAATTGGGGCTGATAGAAAGAAACAACTTTTTCCTGTTGGTTAGTTTTTTGAAAAAAATTTTTGGGGAATTTTTAAAATTTATAGGGGGTCGTGGGTTCGAACCCGCTCAGGGGCCCGATTTTTTTAAATTAAATATATCTGTATAAAATAAATTAAGAATATATAATTTCACATTTTGGCGCAATATTAGTCGTTTTTATAACATTTTAGTCGAAGAAAAAATTTTTTATTAATTCGGGCCCCGAACGGGTTCGAACCCGCGACCCTTCAAGAGCCCAAAAATTTTTTTCATTATTAGTTTCTTGTCTCCGCGATTTTGTTTGCCACGACCCAACATTATTATCCCAATCGATGCAAAATTTAGAAGAAAGAAGGCCTCGAATGTGCACAACACCTTCAATTAATCAATTTAAACAACGCTTTAATAAACTTGTAAATACAACAAAAAATAGGCATTTATTGGAAGCGCAGTCGTTAATGGAAGTTCAGGTTTATTGAAAAAAATTTATTTTTAATTTATTTGTGTTAGAAATTTTTTTCTTTGATTAGAAGACTTGGATGCATTTTTAAAAATTTCGGGCCCCGAGCGGGTTCGAACCCATGACCCCCCGTCAACCCATAACCCTCCTTTTTTATTTCTTTAGAAAAATTGACGAGCATTTTAGAAAAATTTATTTTTAATTTATTTGTGTCGTAAAAATTTTGTATTTTTAATTAGTTGGACTTGGATGCATTTTTAAAAATTTCGGGCCTCGAGCGGGTTCGAACCCATGACCTCCACTGACCAAATTTATTTTTTCCTTTTTTAAAAAATAGGAGGGTATCTTAAGAATATTTTTAGGAATCCAAAATTAATTTTAAAATTTTTTTTGTTCAAAAAAATTAATTTTTTCTTTTAGAAAGCAGATTGGCACAGAACAGCACTCAAATTACAAAAAGAGCAAGAACAACAACAACAATTATTGCTAAAAGGTTTAATTAATACTTCGAAAAAACAACAATCCATTCAAGTAGTGCCAGTTGAAAAAGTCAGAAATTCAATTTTTGGTTAAGTGGTCCAGTTTTAGGTTTTAACTTTTAAGGTCGATGGTTCGAAACCTTTTAGTGCGTTCTTATTTTCTCATATTCCACGAAGGAGGCAAATCTTACATGTCTAAACCGAGCCTAAGATCAAAGGAAAATAAGGAATGTCGAAAAACAAAAAGCTCAAAATCACCCAAAACCCGTTAAAATAAAAAACCTCTTAACAGCATTCTCCACTCTGTCAAGCAAATTTTGTTTAACCTCCACATTTTCCACAATACTTCAATAACCAAATCAGCCTTAGAAACAGCTTCGGCAACATTTGTCGACAACGCAATATTTTTCAAAACTTTGTCAATCAAATTTTTTTGTTGCTAAAAAATAAATGGGCATTAGTCTAGTTTATGAGTCCAATGCAGGTTTACGAGCCTAAACCAAGTATGTCCGCAATTGAAAAAAAATTATACAATCGTAATTTAAAATCCCAAACTCAATCTCTGAGCCAAAAAACATGCAATGCTATTGCGGACAGCCCCGGCCCAAACAAAATATTAGAAGTCCAATGAGGCTTTACGAGTCAAAGGGTCAATGTGTAGACTTATAATTTATCAATGGACTGTAAAGTTATTGGACTCATAAACTAAAACAGAGGTAATTGATTTTTTAGATAAAACGGAGGATTAGGGTCCCTCGTCTTGTCTTCCCTAGTTTTTTCCTTAATATGTTCAGAAAGGTCAGACTTCCCCCAGCGTCCCTCACTTCACTTTTTTCCAATCTCCCCAAAAGCTGCATCATTACCGGTGAACCTATTGCAAATGACCCACCATTGGCCTAGGTCCCGATGCGAACGCTGGTGACTTATGGCCTAGACATTTAATGAGGAAGGATGGCTGACCACTGTCCACACTTAGGCAAAATAGAAGCTAAATTGACCGGGGGAAGGAACAAAAAAGTACTGGTTAACTTAAAAAACCTTTTTCCATTCTTTTCCTCCACCACAAGTCCATTTAATGAGGAAAGTCTGACCATTCTGCACATATTCCCTTTATTGTTGTTGTTGAAAAGTTTGGAAAGACTATTAAAGAAAATTTTAGCAAAAAAGAAATTTATCAAGAAAACCTGTTTGTTTTTTGAAAATTATCCCACTACACCAAAGTGGCAACTTTAATTGGGAGTGGTTGTAAAGAAAAGGGAGGCAGGGCAAAAGAGTGTGGGAATTAAAAGAGACTAAAAGTTTGCTTTTATAGTAAAGTTTTCTTTTCAAAACAACGCCCCGCGAAAATAAGCATTTAAAATAACACACTATTTCTTTTCTATATTTCTCTAACTTTTATTTTCGGCTCCCATACAAAATACCGAATTCTTAAAATATGGAATCTCAAAATCGCGAATCGGCTAAAAAAGCTCAAAATATGGAATCTCAAAATATCGAATCTCAAAATATGGAATCCCAAAATATCGAATCGGCCAAAAAAGCTCAAAATATCGACAATGCGGCAAAAGCCAGTTGAGTCTGAACAATCTTATCAACAACTTCGAAAAAATTTAAAAATATGCAAAAGGGTTTTTCTAGGGTAAAAAGATATGCTGATAACGAATCTGAGCTCGGATTTTGAAAAAGTCGAATCCCAGACCCGAACCGAGCTTCAAATCCCGAACCGAATATCGATTTTCCGAATGATAGCTCATTTGAAAGAGCACGTCGAGCTGCATCGACTGACACCAAAATCAATGAAATCCGACTTTATTGGACTGAGATACAGACCCCTGAATAAACTGAAAAAAACCTGCACTCAATTGGCGGCACTCAAACGGCCCTTTTCGTTTTTAAAAAATTCGACATTTTTAACTACTTTTTAGCCGATTCGGTATTTTGAGCATTTTAGCCTATTCGAGATTTTGAGATTCGATATTTTAAGATTCCATATTTTGAGCTTTTTTGGCCGATTCCATATTTTGAGATATTTTTCCCGATTCGGTATTTTGAGCTTTTTTAGCCGATTCGCGATTTTGAGAATTCGGTATTTTGTGCGGGCACGTTATTTTCATTGCGGAACAGCATCATTGAGTCCCGCCGGTTGAGTCCCTGAGCCATATTTTGGGCCATAACTTTTTCAATTCTTAATTAATTTAGATACTTAATATATCAATCAAAAGCTCTTGATATAAGGATTATGTTAACTAGCAGGAGTATCTAATCAGATCAACAAACAAAAAGTTACAGCTTAATAAAGATCAAAAATCACGATTGCGCGCACTTATCTAGATGTAACTTTTTGTAGGATGGTCTGATCAAATCAATCTAGTTGACGAAAATAATCCCCTTATCCAGGGCTTTCAGATGATAAAAAATTTATTTGAATTGGTTGAAACCCCAAAAAGTTATGGCCCAAAATATGGCCCCGGGACTCAACCGGCGGGACTCAATGATCCCCTACCCTTTTCGTTGTAAAACATTTCGTTGTAAAACAAAAAAAGTTTGAGTCTCTGTCAGTTGAGTCTCCGTTATTTTTGGGTGTAACTCTTTTGTGTTTCCAACTTTTTTGAGCAAGTTTGGTATCAATCGAAAGCTCTAGATCTGCTGATTCTGTTTCTTTAAAGAATAGAACAGTACGAGCATTGAGTAAAAAATTAGAGACAAAAGAAGGCCGAAAATCGCGATTTTTTGAGCCTAACAATTTGAAGATTTTTAGGATATTTTGACGTTCTTCAGTTTAATAAATGTCACAACATCACCCAAATCATCCAAATATTCCTTCAAACATTCCTTTTCAATTAAATATTGTAAATTCTACAAATACTTCAATTCCTTCTTTTAATTATTTAACTGAACAACAACCCAATGATGTTTACGAATTCAACGATAGTCCGGAAGAGGACAAAATGGCTGCTCCAATGACTTCAAATTACTTTCAAAATGTATCTCCAAGCATTACAACGTCTTTTAATCAATACAAGAGTCCAATTACAGGTTTTTAATTAAATTGCTGGGAGAGGGTGGAGGTCGTGGGTTCGAACCAGGGGTGAGCGCAAGAGACAATCTCAAAAAACGCAAGACGCAAAACGCAACGCAAGGCCAAAATTTAACGCAAATAACGCAAGACGCAAAACGCAAGAACGCAAAATTTGGAAAAAAATTTTTAAATTAAGTATTAGCCATTTTTCAGTTAAAAATTGGTGTATTACTACAGGGTGCGCCAAAAGTAATGGCCCGCACATTTTTTAGCATAACTTTATTAAAACTTAATCAAATAAGATCAAAATACAATCAAATAATAGAGAATTAAATGGAGAACAAAATATATCAGGATTTTTCGAAATACCTCCCTTTGGCTTTAAGATAGAGGCGCAAACGCAAACAAAAATTTTTGCAAAATTGCCGCACCTATTATGGTGTAATTTTTCCCATTTCTGAACGAGTGATTGTCGGAGTGACTCCAAACTTTGGGGTTATTAAGCAAAGAACGTTGCCTCCAAAATTGACCAAAAAGATAAATCCAAGGATTCAAACCCGGTGTGTACGGTGGCCATTTTTGAGGCACACTAAAACCGAGAAAATTGGTAACATCACAACCTTGCATCACTTTAGCCTTATAATCAGAGGATGAATTCTACTTATAGATTCAGTCCCTATACCAAAAGTTTTCCCAGACCCAGTGCTCTAAAACATACTGAAGGATTTCGAGTAGATCAAAGTATTTATTTATTTTGACCCAAGGATTCATAGAAATCAAGGAATTTTGATCGTTTTGCAAATAACAGTCCATAACATTTCGAGGGAAGGGTTTTGGAAATCCTTAACAATGGATAAGAAAGAGGAGATTTTGAGGCCCAATATCAGTCATTTTTGCGATTCGCACATGTCTCTTTCATAAAAATTTTGGCATCTGAAAAGAGGAACCAAGGAGGTGCGGCAATTTTGCAAAAATTTTTGTTTGCGTTTGCGCCTCTATCTTAAAGCCAAAGGGAGGTATTTCGAAAAATCCTGATATATTTTGTTCTCCATTTAATTCTCTATTATTTGATTGTATTTTGATCTTATTTGATTAAGTTTTAATAAAGTTATGCTAAAAAATGTGCGGGCCATTACTTTTGGCGCACCCTGTATAAGTCAGCGAGTCCTAATTATGTTTGTGATACATGTAATTTGAATGGGTAATGTTTTGGAGAGAGATAAAGGATTTAGAGGGATTATGAAGGATATCAGAGGATTTAGAAGGATCAAGGGGTTTAACGAAGTGGCGGGGGATTACGGTGATTATCATGTAATTTGGAGCGATCAAGGAAATTTAAAAAGATACCATGGGATTACTGAAGGCTGTCGGGTGAGTTAGGGAGATAACAGAGGATAAAGGGCTGTCAGTATTTATAAATTGATTCCGGGGATATCAGGTGATTTGGAGGATAACTTGAGATCTGAGCTCCAGATACTGACCGATATTTTTTGAGCCGTTCCAAGATGGAAAATTGGTATT